CAAAACCACAAAACATTGATTTTTAAAAACATAATTGGGAGGCTAAGCTTCCCCTGCAGTTCTAGCATCCCATATGGGCACCAGCTTCAGTCCCTGTATCCCCTGTTCTGATCTAATTTCCTACTAATGGCTTGGGAAGGCAGTGGAGGATGGCTCAAGGCCTTGGGCCCTTGGACACATGTGCAAGACCCGGAAGAATCTTGAGGCTCCTGGCTTCAGGCTGGCCTAGCTGTAGCCATTGTGGCCATTTTGTGGGGGTTAACCAGCAGACAGAAGCTCTCTCTCTTTCTCTGTAATTCTGCCTTTCAAATAAAAATAAATAATACTTTTTAAAGTTAACAAATGGTTAGACACATTGCCACTCATGGAGTGGAAGACTCCTGTGGCCATATTTTTTATTTTTCAAGTCACTATTCATTATAAGTCTTCATTTGTTTTTGCTTTTTCTAGTTTTACTTGTTGAAAGGCAGAGAGAGAGAGAGAGAGAGAGAGAGAGGAGAGATCTTCCGTCTACTGTTTTCTCCTCGAATGCCCACAGGAGCCAGGCTGGGCAGGATTGAAGCCAGGTACCAGGAGCTCCACCAGGCTGTCCTCAGCTGCTGCCTCCAGCGTGCCTTAAGGGGAAACCAGCTTGGAAGTGGAGGCAGGACTTGAACCTAAGCACTGCAGTGCCTCATGTGGCAGCTTTATCTGCTGCATCACAGCACCTGTTCCTCTCCCTCGACCTCTGCACTGGCTCTGTGAAATTCCCAGCCAAATCCCTGAGTACAAAGGTGTTTTATAGAGAGAAGATTATTTTCAATAGTATATGCAGAGGCAAGGAAATTGGAATAGTTACAATAATTTCGAAAAAGTACAAGAAAGTGGTTTAGTTTGCAACTTCATGACATTCTATAGCTACGACAATAAAGATCAGGCCATGTGGTCTGAGGGACAGACATAAAGGAGCGGGGCTGACAGCCCAGGAAATACACCCACGACTGCACTCACCCGGCTTTGACAAAGGTGCAAAGACAATTCAGCGGAGAAAATATCACCTTTTCAAGAAACAATACTAGGCAAATTGAACGTCTATAGAAAATTAAAAGAACTTTGATCTAAACTTGCACTTTTATAAGAATTTAATCCATATGGATCACAGATTTATAGTGAAACATAATCTATTTAAAATTAAGATTTATTTATATGAAAGAGTTACAGAGAGAGCAAGAGACACAGAGAAAGAATCTTTCATTCACTAGTTCGCTCCTCCTCCCCTTGCCAAGGGTTATAAGTCACGAGCCAGGAGTTCTTCCCGGTCTCCCATGAGGGTGCGGGGCCCAAGCACTGGGGCCATCCTCCAGTGTTCCCCCAGGCACACTAACAGGAAGCTGGAGCAGAAGGAGCAGCTGGGGCGTACACCTGCACCCATGTGCATGCTGGTGCTGTCGGCTGGGGATTAGCTTCCTCGGCGCTGGCCCCTAATGGTATTTCTTTAATTGTCCATCACTGAACAACTCAGTTGTGCTCATCTGCCGTCTGACATGGACTGGGTGTGAGTTTTCCACCCTGAGGTAGCTCTTATTTTTCATCACTCTCTATCGTTTTGAACATAAAAAATCACATTGGAGGGGAAATTATTCCCACACACAATGGGGATAACTTGCATGGGGGGAGCCTGAAATGCAGCTTACTAAAGCAAATACAAAAGGTGACAGTCTAAACATAGATGTCACCATGCTCAAACTCTTCCTGTGAAAGCTTAAAAAAAAAGAAAAAAGACACACCAGGGAATTGTCACACTTCCCATTGTTATTCCCACGCTCGTTTGGGATCCTGTGGGGATAGCTGCCTGAACCCTGGCATTGCAGCAGAGAAGGGAAGAGCACATAGCAAAAATATCACCAGGATTTTACGTATTACTGTAAACTGCATCTTCAGTGACCTGCCATTCAAGCTAGCAAATATAAATTAAGCAAAGCTTATGAGCAGGTGTTTCACCCGGAAGTTCAGAAGCACATGTCTAACACCGCAGTGCCTAGGCTCATTACCTGGTTCCAGTTTCTGACTGCAGCGTCCTGCTGGTTCAGGCATTGGAGGGCAAGGGGCTGACAGCCCAGACTCCTGGGCTCCTGCCACCCATGTGGGAGAACTGAATCGAGTTCCCAGCTTCCAGCTCTGGCCTTAGTCTAGCCATCATGGGCGTTTAGATGAATGAGCAAGGGAATGAGAGCTCTGTCAGAGATGATCCAAAGCCTGAAAATGAAAACGTGCCGGTGCATTCGCTCTTCTCCTGGGGCTGTTGGCAATACAGACATGAGCGAGCCTAAGAGACAGGAGGCCAACAGAGGGGTATACCAGTAACTGCTGTGCAATGCGCTTGTCGGGCTGCACTGATGCGCTACCCTTTGGATGGAACCTAGGATTGGTTGGTGGTGATGGGCGCAGAGGCAGATCCTGGCTAACCAAAGAGGAAAACGAGAAGGGGGCATCTGTTGGGGATTGTGCAGGAGGCTTGTGAGTTGGAGTGAAAACTGAAGCTCCCAGGGAATGGGCTTTGTGGATTGATCATACCAGGGCAGGTGGAAAGTTTTTGAACGGTGAAGATCTATAGTGATGTGTATTTGTTGAGTTTGGTTGTACGCAGATTTCGAAGTGGAAGGCCTGGGATGAAGGACTTGGGCCCTGTGCCACCTTTTGCAGAATGAAATTCCTGAAGGCTCAGTGCCAAAAGGAAGATCACAAATCCTGGTCAAAATCCAGTGGCTCTGATGTTGGGCAGCGCAGACCATAGTCAGGCAGAGTAGGTGAGCAGAGTTGCAGCCACACAGAAGCAAGGAGACAGAGGATTGTAAAGGATCTGACTGGCTGGTCGTCAGATTAAGGAAGGGACTAAGTCAGGAGAGACAAGGAAGAAGAGCAGGGGATGGAATTAGCCTCAGAGACAATAGTTGGCGCAAAAAGAGCAGGTCTGGTAAGTTTCATGTCTTGAGGACAGTTCTATAGGTTGTAAAGTAACGATAAGGGCAAAGAGAAGGTTGCTTAGATGAAAAGTTGTGGGAGAGAGGATTTATAATGATGTCATATCTTTCGGAGACAACACTGAGCGTCTCCACATGCTTTAGCCTTGCCAGTAGAAAGAACAGGACGCATGTTATTTCCATCTTGGACCTGGTACTGGGCATGCTCTAGATCCTGACATGGGTAATGGGAGCCGGGGCTCATCCCAGCTTGCTGTTGGGGCTCTCCCCACTGCTTGAGATGCAGCTCCACGCAGGTGCCCTGCGGCCCCACGCAGACAGGCTCTGGACCACTCCCTCGCCACAACAATTGCTGCTCTTGTGAGAATGAATCTTGGAGTGAAAACCTCCGAAATATACGAATTTTTGATCTTTCTTTCTTTCTTTCTTTCTTTCTTTCTTTCCTTCTTTCTTTCTTTCTTTCTTTCTTTCTTTCTTTCTTTCTTTCTTTCTTTCTTTCTTTCTTTCTTTCTTTTTCTTTCTTTCTTTCTTTTTTTTAAAGATTTATTTGTTTATTGGAAAGTCAGATATACAGAGAGGAGAAGAGACAGAGAGGAAGATCTTCCGTCCGATGATTAATTCCCCAAGTGAGCGCAATGGCCGGTGCTGCACCAATCCGTGCAATTCAGCAGCGAAGAGCAAGGACAATGCCTAGGAGGACACGGCAGTGGAGCACGAAGAGTCGGGGCTGTGACGTCAGACTGCCAGGGTCTGGACCTCTGCTGTCCCTCTCAGTGGTCATGAGACATTGGGGAAGTCCTGGGCTTCGCAAATCTGTTTCTTGACCTGTGAAATGGATATCATCGAGGGTTGACCCTTACGGAGCTGTTTCAAGGATTCAGAGATTAGGGGCCTTGGATGAGTAACCGGCACATAGCAAACACGTGGTAAATGCTGCTATGTTGGTGTTTGTATCTTACTGAGAACAGTTTTTGGAGGATCCCCAAGACTCCTGTGACATTTACACTTCACCGCCATCTAGTGGCTGGGACCTTCCAGAAGGTGCTGTGAGCCCAGGTGTTCTTACAGAACTTGTTAGCTAAATGAACGGCTGTTAACCGTTTTCAGAAGTGAGTCCTTGGCAAGTCAGGGCCAAGAATTTGTATACAGCTTCCTTGTTGACCAAAATTGTAGAGAGATTAAAAAAAAAAAAGGAAGTCCTACTATGAGGCTTCTGGCACCTTCTTTGCTTTGAAATGGTCACACAAGAGGGTATTCTGCATCGGCGATAGGCATAGCAGCTCCTGAAAGAAGAGACCCAGTGCAAAATGACCCCCTGGCACACTGCCCAGGAAGGGATGGGGCGGGCCTGTAGTTTGGCTTCAGCATGTCACTTAGCCTTTCCGTGGCAAGGGAGACCAGCTGCCTCCTTGCACAGGGCCTCATGTCAGCAGGTGCTCAGGATCTCGAGCCACGTGTGGTTGCCATTTCTGCAGTAGATGCTTGTGTCAAAAAGCAGCCTCTCGGTCATGCAGGGCTTGTTCCTTCTTTCACCCGTTTGTTCAGTCTGTTCGTGGGTATCTGCTGAGGACATGTTGTGTGCCGGCTGTAACTCCTCCTGGCAGGAGTGATGGCCGTTAAACACAAGACTTAGAGAGCACCTCTGTGGGAGAGCACGCCGTGGCCGGGGTGAAGGGCGTTCTGGGGGGGCGGCTCCCACATCACAGACCCCGTATGTTTGTATAGATCTATGGCAGAGGGAATAACATTCCCTGTTCTTAAAATCACCACTCCAGTGTGACGATTTTCAGAGGATGAAAGTCAAGTGCTTTGAGGTTGAAGCATCCCTTCCTAGCTTGCCTAAAAGTGTGCTGTGCGCCGAGGCAGGAGTGAATGCGGGTCCGTTCAGCATCGCAGCCTTGCTGGCTTTGGTCAATCACTAAGGGCTCAACAACATGATACTAAAATATTAACCTAGCCAATGGGTCTAACTATCCTCCTCCTCTGAGTTTCTTCCCCTTAGCCCTACACTCCTACATATTTTCTTATTTCCCTTCACAGGAATTGAGCAAGTTCCTGGAGTCCTGCTTCCTTCAGGGAAAAAAAAAATCCTTGTGCAGTGTGTGCTGGAGATGGGATGGCTCTTCCAGACTGAGTTCAACACAGTGACTTTTAGGAAGGGCTGGGGGGGCGGGGTGGGTTGGAAGAGAAAAAAGCATGTATGTGTGTGCTCAATGGAAAAAAAATAATCTTATAAAATAAAAAGTAATAAAATCTGATGTAAACCAATGTTCCACTATCAACATGAAATATTCTCTGTGCTACTGAGTTTTTTTTTTTAAAAAGATGAAGCTTTTGAAAACAAACTTATGGAATTAGGCATGACCTGCAGAGTCCATTTTCCTATGAGCTTCTCGAAGTTTCTTAGGATGTGCTTTTCCTATATTATAAACAACATAAAAAGCAAAACTTAACAAAGTCTTTCTGGCGGGTGAAATTGCACGGAAGACAGCGTCTGCAGGAGTTCCTGGAGACACCAAGGAATGTTCTGGAACTGAGTTAAGACTGCAGAGGTTTTTTTTCTTCTTCTTTTCTTTTCTTTCTGTATGGGAATGGAACATGGGTGAGAAAGCCTAAGAATTAAAAAAGGTTCTACCACTGGTTTCAAGTTTCGCTTCTAGAGGGTTGTAGCTTGCAAATCCCTGGGCAGTGGGGCTGGCGATGGTGGCAGGACTGGACCTGCACAGGACCTCACCTGCAGTCCTGCCTCCTTCTTACCTCATGGAGGAGGAAGGGGCCAGAGGTTTTAGGGGGTAAGCCTGGGGTTATTGCCTCTTCAGGCAAGCTAGTGACTTTTCTGGGTCTGCTGACCCTTCACTCTGGGCCGTCTTCCTGCTTAGTTGCTGTTTTAGGAGTTTCCTGAATGGAACCCATCTTCCTTGATCCCACTTGGCAACCTCTGCTATAAATTGGTTTTCCTTCATGCAGCTGTGCTGCGCAGGCCCTGGAGGATAATTAAGAGGGTCGTTTTACGGTACTTGGTACTGGTGTCACTCCTGAGGGTCAGGGTCTGCTATCCAAGCCCTGCTGCTTGCCCACGCTTTCCAACCTCCTACCCAAACCCTGGGGAAGGATGCTGAGTGAGAGATTTCTGCTTATATACCACTGGCAGACAAAGAACAGAGCGTTTTTGTGTCATTTTGTAAGTTTAAAATAGTTTGGCTTCCAAACATATAATTCTTTGGTGTCTTAAATGTGGGATGTTCCTTTTTTGCTTTGTTCTCTAGGTTTGGTCTATTGTTACGGTTCAAGTTTGGCCCGAAGTAGAGTTATTGGCTGCAGGTTTTGCAGATCCCAGGCTAAAATGGTGCACATGTCGTGTAGCTAAGTTAGGGAAGCAATGGCCCCATGATTAGAAAGAGACAGTGGAAGTGCCAGTGCCTCAGCTGTGGAGACAGTGGCCACGTCTGGTCCCTGGTCATGCTCTAAGCAGGCCCGCTCTTGGTGTGGGTGCCACGCTGTGTCTTGGGCCAGCAGCTCCGGTGTCTTGATTCGGTAATAAATCACCTCTCCACCCTGAGAGGGCTGGGGTTTGAAGGACAGTCCTTGAATGTGTTCTGATGGGATCCGGGTGTGCGGTTCAGGTTCTGCCTTCTGATGGTTTGCACAGGAAGCAGCAGGCGTAATCACACCATAAAACCTCTCTCTCGAGGGGGAGTGTGCATTTCAGCCCCAGACAAGCAGATAACAGACGGCTATTCACTCCTCAGCCAGATAAGGGAATGAGTTTGATTCCTCATTAAAAGCTTCATGGTTTAAGCCTTAAAAAAAAAAAAAAGAGCCCTGGTCTTTGCTTATTAAGTTACGTAAACAAGAGAGAGTGCCATGGGGGAGAATGGAAACTCTTGGTGTGACCTATAATTAGAAAATTTCCATACAGATAATCAAAACAGAGGCTGTGGGCCACTTCCTGACACCCTCACCAGGGAGGTGGTGCCCTTGGTGGGCAGATAAGCAAACACCAAGGAAGTGCAACCCGAGCCAAACAGCCTGGGCTCAGGATAATAAGCTATATATATATCCAATATATATATATATGTCCAATATATATATATATCTCACACATATAGATATATTTTAAATTTTATTTCTATTTGAAAGTCAGAACCACCTTTTTCCCAGTCCATAAGCAGGGAGCTGGATTGGAAGTGGAGCAGCTGGGACTTGAACCAGTGCCCGTGTGGGAATGAGGCCAGCTTTATAGCTTTAATATCTGCAAGGTATCTGGAGAAGGTAGGGTGCGGCCTTCGTGAGCTGCCATGAACACAGTTGTTTTCAAAAACCAAGTGAACACACAAAGCAACCCCCATGGCCTTTAGTCTATGTGCTTCAGCCGAAGGCTGGCTTCAGGCCGTTGGTCTGAGAACGAAAAGCAGTAACCCTCCATGTTTCAGCAAGAGCTTATCTATTTATTTGAGAGGCAGAGAGATGGATGAGAGAGAGAATTCTCACTCACTTTCCAAACGCCAACAAGATTCAGGGCTGGGTCAGGCTGAGGCTGGGAGTCAGGACCCCAATCCGGCTCCCCCACACTGACAGCAGAAGCCCAGCGACCAGACTCACCATAGGCAGCCTCCCAGGAGCTGGAGTCAGGAGCTGGCACTGGGCATCCAACTCTGGTACTTTGGGGTGGGATATAGGTGTGTCTATAAACGACATTTTAACTGCTAAGCCAATTGCCCATCTGTGCAGTTCAACTTTTGCACAAACTACACTGCATGTCACCCTGCGTCCAGTCTTCTCTGGGGCTCATCTAGGTGGTGTCTTTCCTACCTCCAAAGTGTCCAGGTTTAGAATAGAAGTGACACTGTCAGCCAGCTGTGAATGACAAGGGAGCCTGGCTCCTTGCCAGTGGTATCCAAGGCCCTGTGGTTGGAAGGGTGGCTCAGCCTCCTGTGTGTTGACTATGGGGCTCTGTGGACCCAGACGAGGTCCAACATAAGTGGAACCATATAGAACCACATCACACAAGGCAAGGTGATGTTGAACTTGGGGGAAATCTGCGTAGAGTCATAACTGACTTTCAATGTTGGCATACCTTTAAGACTCTTCTAAGTGGCACCCGAATGCCATCCCAGGGCTAAGGAGACCCACTGATGGGCCACCTGCCAGATAAATGCCTATCCATGCAACACTGCCAATTATGTGCCAGGATATGGGATTGTATCCACAATATGATAGCTATACCTTTACAATTCTATCTATCTATCTGTCTATCTATCTATCTGTCTATCTATCTACCTATCTATCTATCTATCATCTATTTATCTATCTAATCATCTATCTATCTAAGGTGAGAGTGACACAAAGAGAGAGAGAGAACTTCGGTTTGCTTTCATCTGCTGGTTCACTTCCAAAGGGTTGGGCCAGGTTAAAATCAGGAGCAAAAATCTCCATCCGGTCTCCCACATAGATGAGGGACCAGACTGCCTGAGCCACCCCCTGCTCCCTCCCAGGGTGGGAACTAGCAAGAAGCTGAACTGGAAAGAGAGGTAGGACGCAAATGTTGGCACTCTGATACGGGACACAAGATCTCAAATGACGGCTTAAGTTGTGTCTTCAGCACGCAGCTCCTACAGTGTAGTCTAGTATTTTAAAAATCCTTTGTTGTCAGAAGTATATGTATTCATGTATGTATATTTAGATATATGGATGTTGTATATTAAAAGAAAGTGTCTGGGCATAGAACGGAGAAAAACAGCATTATAAGGAATTATCTCTGGGGAGTAGAACTTGGTGGGGTGTCCTCATGGGGAGGGTGCTTTAACTTTTAATAACACCTGATCGACCTCTGGTTTTGATTCATCATGAAAACCTACTAGGAAAGAATAAATGGAAATGCGTTGCCAAGAGTGAAAGCAAGGAGTGTGTGAGGAGCAGAGTCAGAACCGCCCACGGCACGAGACTGTCCCCTCCAGCGACACCCATGCTGGGGCTGCAGCGCGGCCCGACCTTGCGGTCAGCACAGAAGGGCTTGGCAGGGCCTGGTGAGTGATAGGCAAGCTTTCCGTCTCCCGTGATCCTGCCATGTGGTGAGGCTGTACACGATGATACTTAGAACCCTGTTGAACCAGAGCGAAAGTTAGGAGATTTCTAAACGCTGAGAATTCTGTATCTGAGATGTTTGGGGCCAAGATTACTTTGGATTTCAGACTATTTCAGATTCTGGAATATTCGCTCATTCAGGACGCAGCGTCTTATGAATGGGACTGTGTATGTTTCATAATACACTGAAGATGGTTCTATGCAGTGTGTCCGGGTGCTTGTGTTTGGGAGTTCCCCACGATGTGAACTCAGGGGCAACTTTCTAGAATTCACAGCCTTACTGTCATCTTCCACTCAGGACTGTCTCTGTTTCATGCTGTTGTAATAAGTAGGAGGGCCCTGCATGGTGGCCTGGTGGCTGAGGTCCTTGGCTTGCATGTGCTTACTAGCACCGGTTCTAATCCTGGTGGTTCTGCTTCCCATTCAGCTCCCTGCCTGTGACCTGGGAGGGCAGTGGAGAACGGTTCAAAGCCTTGGGACCCTGCACCTGTGTGGCAGACCCAGAAGAGGCTCCTGGCTACTGGCTTTGGATTGGCTCAACTCTGGCCCTTGTTGTGGCCCTTGGGGAGTGGGCCAGCAGATGGAAGATCTTTCTCTCTGTCCGTCCTTCTCTCTGTGGATCTGACTTTCCGATAAAAAAGAATCTTTCAAAGAGAATGATAGTAGGAGGAGGACAGTAAAACAGCAGAGCATTCCTAACTTGGAAATATGAAATGTTGCAGGATCCAGTCTGTGGAGCACTGACATAACGCCATGATGGCAATTCCACAGGTGACCTCGTGGGTTGGGCCACAGCCCAGTCACAGGTGCACAGCATGTGGTTTGTTCAGCATGACCTTCCCAGCTCCTCCGACTGCTAGTCTTGTTTCATACACACAATTGTTTCAAGTGTTGCAGAGAATGCCCTTCAGCTGGTGTGTATAAGGCACTATGAAACAGAGACACATTGTGTCTGCACTTGGGCCCCACCCCAAGCCTAGATCTCAGCGTCTA